GGATCGGGCCATCATCGGTTACCAGGCCCCTACCAGGTGTTAATTGTATTTGTTTTAAACCGGCCAAGCACATATTTATTCCCTTATTAATGGGCTTAATTTAAAAAGGACGGTTTAATTAGTTTTACAAGTGCTTTTTCCTTGAGGTCAATATAAAATTAGCATTTAACAGTGAAATAAAATTATCCTAAAATGAGTTGTAAAAAGATAACAAGTCTTTTAAAACCCCACCCAGAACAAAAAATATTAAGATGACAGAATACAAGAGTTTGAAGATGAAACCGACGTGCAATTAAGCTTTAAAGAGCTCGAAATAAACGTAATCTTAGATGTCAAATAAAGTGACAATTCCTCGTCATTATTTGGCAGTTGCTATCATGCGTAGATTTAGTCTTGTCCAGCAATGTTTGGTCAAGTTATTGGATTGGTCATTTGCACAGCTTGACCATTCAATATCACAAAGAGTCAAATACATACCAAACGTGTAATATAACCGATGTGTGCGGAAACGTGTGCAACACACACTCACAATGAGTTGTAATTAAATGGTTAATTTTAATTGTACAAGCTGTCGTGTCAAACAATTAAAGTGACTCGAGGCAATTTCCCATGACAAACATCGCGCTTAGAGCACCGACAGAAATGCCTAATAATTAATAAGATAAATATCCTTCGACTGATACAAGTGTTAATTACAAAAAGCTTTATAACAAAATAGGCGATATGAGAAATATAAGCTTATCGAAGACAATAAAAGATGTTGGTATTTTTTTATGAATTTATATAAGAATAATTGCTAATATTGAATTTTAACTGTCAAAATATCATCGTTGCCTAGAATGAACTTTAGGATGAGGGACTCTAAATATAAAAATAAAATAAAATATAAAAATAAAATAAAATAAAAAAGATGGAACATGAAAATTGAGGAGTATTCATTGTTTATCCTGATACATCTACTGTAAGGTCCGGAAGTGAAAAATTGTAAAGCCCATTGTCCTTCACTGCAAGCAAGAAGAATGAGACGCCATGCATGGGCTCTTGTAGTGATTGACAGTTTTCAATACCAAAGCCCTCCCAACTAATTCCGGTAGATATCTATCGATGCAATCTTGTGTATTCCAAAGACCCTCGAAACAGATGTCATTGAAATAAAGTAGGTCATTATATAAATTCACACCATCGACCTTTTCGCTAGACCGAAGGGTCAGCCCAGTATCCCCCGACTGACAGTAGTCTTTTAAGAGCACTGCGTACACAATTATCTGATAACAGCTGCGGCGATTCAAGCAATGTTCCCTAAATGCCAACGGAAATAGGCTGTTGTAACCTTTTATGGTACTCGTCAAAATAATGGACAATGCATTGAGCTGCTAGAGCAACGCTGATAGCAGGTGTGGCTTCCTGCTTGAACGCCACGGAAGACAATACAAATACTTTTAAGTCTCCTGCCCATGGTTCGTCACATTCCAGTTGAGTGATCTAACAATTCTAATCCCTGAGGCCTTGGCTTTCGCTAGATGTAACTGTTGAGAAAGGACAACATGACAGTGTCCATCCCTAGCCCTCCACTAAAACAATTACCAGCGCGTATCTACACGCGGCAGTGTATAAATGTGACGATGATTCCGCGGCCTTTATTGACCCGTTTCTGTAGCTGACCGTTTCAATTCAAGGATAGGCAGGTATTGTAATTCAACATCTGTTTGTGTTTTAATTCGGTCACGATGAAAAACAGATGAATGCTTAAGGAATTTATTTTAATTCAATATTGATTTTAAACAATAACAATTGTGGCGTGCAGGTACTTCGTCATTTTAACCCTAAAAGGGCTGGGGGAATCCGCCCCCCCCCCCCACAACCTTTTTCCGCGATACCCTTGCCCAAAAAAAATTCCCGACCCGGGCTTTCCTGACTGTTTAGCCTCGAGTCTTGCGCAATTTTTTTGAATATTTTTGAATATCGATTAATGTTCCTCTAGCATCTAAAGGACATGTCTGCATAATTTTTTTTGCCAAATTTGATTTGAAAATGTAAGGTTTACCTTTTGCAACTCTTTTCAATCTTTGCCAATAAAATTGAACATGCTTGAAACTGGCAGGGAAGATGCTCAACGGTCTCAAAACATAATTCCAACTCCATTTTTGCACAGATGTTCCATTCAAAGGTAAATTGGCATCAAAGTTTTGATGGAATGTTAATAATAATAATAATAATAATAATATAATAATAACGGAGTCTTATATAGCGCACGTATCTACCAACAATTAGGTACTCAAGGCGCTGAAAATGATGTCTATTATTAAAGAAAGGTAAAAAAAGTATATGAGAAATATGAGACCCATTATGTAGCATCTTATTAGGGTTGATTAGGTGCTGCAGTGCATATTGCAGCCACTGCCAGAAACACCGGGGCAAACCCCTTCTCTTAGCGATAAGTGTTACTGGGTTCTTTATCGTGCATTTCACAACACACGGGACGTGCGGCTTTACGTCCTATCAGAAGGACGAAGCAATAATGGTAAAGTGCCTTGCTCAAGAGCACAAGCACCATGGGTCAGGATTCGAACTCATGTAACACGGCACACAAATCGAACACCGTAACCATTGGACCACAGCACCCCGTGTTAGATGTAAGAAGTCACTAGGGGTATATTTTTTCTGTAATAATCTTTTCTTCTACTCTGGTAATTATGTGACGGTGGATCCGTATGTATCCAAAAAAAATCTTAGCGTAAGGCACTTTAATGTAATTTAAACCGTATCAAACATCTAATTTGTCCCAGTTATTGTAACCCGATTTCATTAGCACAAAGGCTGTTCTGTTCCACAAAAGATGGTACAACAATAGGCCTACTCTCATCAGTTGCTACTCTCCCGATGGTGAACGGCACAACCTTCAAATGACTGATTTGATTTCATTTATTTCCAAACATCATGATTCTAATAATGAACAATTGATATTAAGGTAACATACAACAAACATTTTCAAGAATGGTGGAGGCTAACAGACAGCCGAACCTTGAATCATTCCGAATTGAAAATAAGGTCCGATAGTCCATATCGACAATAAGGTCCGATAGTCCGAAGCGACAATTAGGTCCGATAGTCCGAATCGACAATAAGGTCCTAATGTCAATTCGGAATATCAAACCTTATTGTCCATTCGGGCTGTCGAACCTTATCGTCCATTCAGACTATCAAATCTTATTAACGATTGGGACTATCGAACCCTATCGTCTATTCGGACTATCGAACCTTCGGACTATGTAACCTTCTTCTGTTTTCGGACTTATGGGCGCCCCTTCGGACTATGGGCCCTTCGGACTATCGAACCTCGGACTATCGAACCTTCGGACTAACGAACCTTCGGACTAATGACCCTTCGGACTAAAAAACCTTCGGACTGTCGTACTATCGGGCTGTTAACGAAATAAAGACATAGTCTCGTCTTGTTTGCATGTGAAATGTGTTTGTGTGTTACAGGTTCGTGGCCTCCCTCTCTCCAACAATCTACTAGCACAAGCTACTAGGCCGCAAGAAGTGTGCATTTCAATGTCATGGTGCTCTTACGTTTCTAGTCATTTTAAAGTTTTCAATCAATTTTTCCACAGGCAATAAACAACATCAACAGCATGAAAAAAACACAAACAAATTTTTAGTCTCACATTAATATTTGTTTAGATATGGCCGCTGATTTGTTCATACCCGCTTGTTTCTTGGACACACTGTAGTGGGTATTAAGTATTAAGATTGTTCTTCTTATTATCAATAATATTGTTCGTTAAGATGAATTAATGAGCGAAGCGTTTGGACCGGTATATGTATAGACGCAACATTTTTTTAAAAATAAAAATACTGATTAAATTGCAATTGCTGAAGAGATATTTCTTTAGATATCTTTTAAAGCTACAATTGACCTAAGTGGGGGACAGACTATTCCCCCCCCCAAAAAAAAAAACCAATTGGTCCTTCATGTTTAACTCTAGATCAATATTTTTTAGATGTCCTTGCTCTATAAAAAGGCAAGTTCCTTGAATCCTTTGTGTTATACTGAAAAAAAAATGTCTGTATTCTTTGTGAAAAGACCCGAAATAGAAGTAGGTGATAAATTCCTCTCATATTTGAACATAATGACTCCAAGGTGGTATTTATATAACTCAGGGATATACGGTGTATTCGCTATATGAGAAAAGGGTGCTGTGTGAGCTCTTGAATTTATATTGTTTATTATCCTTAGTGATTTCTTCAAGCAGTTTATTCAAATTAGATATTATCTTAACGTTACTGGTACTGGTACCCCGTCTTAGTATTTCATACTGTAGTTGTGGTAAAGAAAGATAACGTATGATATAGAAAGTAGCGCTTCCGTTTAAGTTATAAATCTTATAGTCAGGGGAGTCAGGTTGGCGTAGCGGTACTTTCCTCGCCTTCCACCGCTGTGACCCGGGTTCGAAATCCGCCCGGGCCAATATGTGGATTGGGTTTTCAGTCCCTGCCTGATTCCGTGGGTTTTCCCCAGAATATTCTTCTGGGCTTTTCCTCCCACCTCTAAAACTGTAACTTCTTCTCATTGTCTTCTCTTCATTTCTCCATCCTGTTATTGGCGCTTGCACTGTTGGATGTGGCTGAAATAAAATAAAATAAAAAATAAAATAGCTTCTAGAGTTTACCAGGAATACGAGAAATTGACATACGAACCTTTTGGCAGTGGTTTTTTCCAAGTAAGCTTACTAACTCTGATTGCCCCTAAAATCATGTGATCATGTTTCCGTCCCAATGAGCCTTGCGCATCAATCGAAACCCTGCATTCCTAAACCATTCAGTGACTACCGAGCGATCATTATACGATTCGCAAATTGCTCTTGAGAAACCACGCAGCGTGTATAACAACTGAGCATGCGTCCAACACGGTTTGCTCTCACCGAGTCGCAGACGGAAGCGCGGCGCGCATCCTTGGCCGGTGTCGCGCCAAGGGTACAGACGATCTCATTGGATGACGTGGGCCGGATCTGGAGTGGAGCCGACGGCTCTTTTTATATCATCTTCTGTCGCAACCGAATGAAAGGAAGAGCAAATATATATATGTGAGTGCGCCGGAGAAGGGCCTTACTAGTTTGCACACCACAAGAGACTGTGCTACGTTCCTGGAGACGAGTGAAGGAATTACCGGTAAGTGCACCGTTCAGACCTGCCGTTGATTTAGGCGCGAGTGACACTCGTCGAGAGTGAAGATCTTGTTGAGATAGTTTGGGATAATTGCAAGAGTAGTTTGAAAAAAGAGAGACTTGTTCAAGTTTTAGTTTTTCTGTATATGTATATTTTATCTAGGAGCCAGCTAAGTGCTTCCTCTACTTCGGTTAATTGTAATCTCGGGAAAATAGCATTTGGAACACGATATACAACATGAATAGACCGTTATGTATGTAAATCACAAGTGTGTACGGCGAATGGAAAAGTTGCTGCTTAGATAAAATGTTAGGCTAACAAAATCCAGTGGTTTCATACCATGAAATAATGCATGATGCTATAAATCGGTCAAGATACACTCATTGAAAGTAAAGGGCTTTTACTAATGTCTGAGTCAATTTAGAATATAGATAGGCCTATCTATAGAATTAAGACCCGCATCCACACGGTTATACACCTATTTTCCGACACACCTGTGTTCCGATACCCCTATGTTCCGACACGCCTATGTTCCGACTGCACATATTCCTATCCCTAACCCTAACCCTAACCCTAACCGGAAGTGACACAATTTTATGTGCGGGTTATCGGAACATAATGGGTGTTGGAACATAGAGCAGTCACCATTTGCACAGCCCGAATGCTTCCTTCTTTCACTGACTTAACGTACTGTTTTCCAGATTTGTCAAAAATTATGTTTACAATGTAGGCCTATTTGGCATACTAGCACTATTCTTGGGTTATGCATAATCACGTACGGCTAGAAAGTGGTATGATACATGACCGGCTACAATACGTAAAACAGGTTAGGACGCGAAGGTTTAACGATCAATTTAAAGTTAGAATTATTAATAATTCCATATTCTAAATTGACTCGGACATTAGTAAAAGTCCTTTACTTTCAATGTGTGTATCTTGACCGATTTATAGCATCATGTATAATTTCATGGTATGAAACTACTGGATTTTGTTAGCCTAACATTTTATCTGAGCAGCAACTTTCACCGAAGTGAAATTCGAAAAGTTGTTCAAACACTCGTTTTGTTAATAAAGCGAGTTACGTTCAGGCAAAACTTCCCTCTTCTGAACAAAAGTACATCAGTTGCAACGCGACGTATGACGACGTTTCTGAAACGAACGGGGTTCATCATTCATTCTTTGGACGCCGATTAAAAGGCTATCGTAAAAAAAACAACGGAAATGTCAAACTTCAGTTTTTCATGATATTAACAAAATCTCCCACAGTGATGTTTACGTTCAAAAAGTAATCCCATTTGGTTGGAATGGCACTTTAATTCGCCAAGTGCGTCCGTACCCAACCGTCTAACGTATTAGGTTATTGCCTCTAAAAGCCAATTTGGGGTAAAACTGTATATAACGTCAACTATAAAACGATATTAAAGCCAATTTTGGGATAAAGTGTAATCGTATATACGGCAAGTCGATCATTTCGTCGCGAGATATGCTCGGTGAACGTTCTGGGCGTTTCGCCTCGGGGTATGATTCGGCTTAAGTCGCCCTGGACACAGCCTCTCCAACCCCCCGTGGATTCAAATCTGATAGACCCTCGATCGGAAAAGCCGATTGCGAGTTACACACGTTTATACCCAATATCACTTCTGATAATCCCCACGTTGGTCTGTTGCAGGGTGCTTAGAAATCTTAAAGTGATATGGTAAAATATTACGCTTGGCTGTTTCCTCGCTCTGTGGATAACGATCATATTACTTGTGTTGATGTCACTTTCATTTTTCGCCTCTAGCGCCTTGCCAGAGCGAAAGTTTTACCTGAGATTTCACAGTAAGTGAAATGTCATCAAGCTCTAAACATTCCCGTTCATAACTCGTGAGTTTATCTACCAGTTACAAAGTTAGATGAGCAATTTATTTTGGCGATTTTATTCTGAAGTGCTCGGTGCACCCTTTGAAAATGCGCCTAAAAATTACAAAATTATTTGCTTACAAACTCGTGGTATAGGCCTATAGAGATAATAATGGTTGATCAGAATTTTTCAACTTTAAAGAAATTCTTAAAATGTTAACTAAAATGTTAACTTAAATGTTAACACTCAGCCGATTTTGTGCCAAAGGACGCCACCGTTGTTTTTTTTTGTAATTGCGGACTAAATTTCATAAACATTTTCACAAAGATTCGACAGCAAGCATTATTAAGATAAAAGTACCAGTATTTAAATGAACGAATTTGAAGTTTGTCAACAAAGAGGTTTGGCAACACTGCACGAGGAAAGTCGGGAAAAACGTCGAAGCGCGCCACGTTAGGGATGTCCCCCCAAAAGTGTCCTTCTGACTATTTTTGAAATAACTACAAAACCACGACGTCAATTTGGAAAATGTTTGGTTGTGCAGATACTCCTTAACCTTGCCCTCAACCCCTATGAATTTGATTTAATTTTAGTCACAAATCACTACACAATTGTCAACTGATCACAACAACATTTTTGGACACTGTGACCAAGTTCCTTGCCGTATTCAATTTCGGTATTGTGTTGAGTAAGCTGTGCAAAATCCTTCATGTTGTGAAGATGGCTGCAGTTGGGATTGGAATCATTTGCCTGGCTATCAGTCATCATGGCAAGACCTCAGTTTAACGCTCAAGGGCAATGATTCCAATCCCAGACCACATCAGCCTATTTTCTCACAACATGCAGGATTTTACACAGCCGACAGTACTGAAATGTACTGAAATGTATTTAGGCATGGAACTTGGTCACAGCGCCCAAATATGTTGTTGTGATCAATTGACAATTGTGCAGTGATGCGTGACTGACATGTAATGAAACTCATAGGGGTTGAGGCCAAGGCTTAGGAGTATCTACACAACCAAATATTTTCAAAATTGACCTCTTGGTTTTTGTAGTTATTTAAAAAAAAAAAATCAGTCAGACGGACTCTTTTTTGACACAGTATACAACAGCAAACTTCTCAGAATAGCATTGCCTGCAGGTTTATGCATACAAAATGTACAGCGGAAGCGGGACTATCTCTTACTGAATTAAGGATAATTTAAACTGCCGCTATCAATTGTCGTGTTTGCAAACCTTCAAGTTTAATGACGATAATTCAATCAAAACGGCACTTTTAAAGGGCGTTTTCTTGAAATAGACACAGTGCGCTCTTTAATTCAGGACGCGCAATTAATGTATCCAGAAATGTCGGATGCACCTTGAAGTTTCGTGCAGCAGCAATTATAAATTACGGGAAACATATGAACTTACATTTTCTGTAAATACGTATCACCAAAACTACATCTACAGGATGTGTTCCCGAACAGGCTTCTCGTAGAGGCAACAAAAAGAAATTAGACACTGTTAATATTTTAAAGAATACTCGCCTTAAACAAATATATTCTAACATTTTCAAAGGATTCTCTTCTCGAGGAGTTGTGAACGCCGATGTTCTGGGCTTGAAAAGAAAAATGAAATAATTTGGGAAGTTAAAGATTGACATAGATTTGCAGAGGACAGCGAATGTTGTAAAGCGGAGAAGCCAATTACGAAGGCGTAATGTCGACATTGATCCAGGCGGTGTAGCGCGTCGCGAGTTCGATCGACTCGGCGTTGATTCAGGTGCTCTCGAGGCTACAAAGGTCCTTGCTATGTAACTCAGCGGTCTCGCAGGCTCCGGATCCCCCACGTTAATTCATGAGCCGAACATTGATGGCAGGCCATGCGTGGAAATGTCCCGTACCGGGTTAAACTAAAGTCCTGATTGACAAAAATGAATCAATTCTTTTTAAAAATCCTGGATTGGTATTAGTGATTATATATGACAGAACGCGAATTCGTCGGGAAAAAGGTAGGGGAAAACTTGACACAGCCCTGTAATGTTAACGGAGAAACTTGTGCTTCTTGCCTATTGTCTATCAGCAATTCCCTTAATTAATTAGCAACAATATTCCGTACCGACGTACAGGTTGTCCGACAAAAAGTTGTGCAATTTTTTTTTTGGGGGGGGGGGGGCTACAGCCCCCCTAGCCCCCCCCCCCCCCCCCCCCCGTAGAACCGTGCCTGGTGCAAGCAGATACTAATAATAATACCGGAGTCTTATATAGCGCACGTAGCTACCAACAATTAGGTACCACAAGGCGCTGGTAATTATGTATATTGTTAAAGACAGATAAATGAAGTCTATGGGAAATATGAGACCCATTATGTAGCACCTTTTTAAAGGGTATACAAGGTACTGCGGCGCATATTGCAGCCACTGCCAGAAACACCGGGGCAAACCCCTTCTCTTAGCGATAAGTGTTACTGGGTTCTTCAACGTGCATTACACAACACACGGGACTTACGGCTTCACGTCCCATCCGAAGGACGAAGCAATAATGGTAAAGTGCCTTGCTCAAGAGCAAAAGCACCATGTTCCCGCGGTCAGGATTCGAACCCATGTACCACGGCACACAAGTCGAACACCGTAACCATTGGACCACAGCCCCCGCGCCCCCACGCCCCCCGCCCCCACGCCCCCACGCCCCCACGCCCCCCGCCCCCACGCCCCCACGCCCCCCGCCCCCACGCCCCCACGCCCCCCGCCCCCACACACATATCCGTTATTTCCTTAAAACTACTTAACATGAGTATTTCATCTTGATGGAGCATATAAATTATACCCTTGTGAATTATCAGTAAAAATGCCATGGAAATCCGTTCATGCAAACCAGATATCTAACACATTATAAAAGGTCATGGGTTTTTCACCCATTTCAATGGGTTTGGATTTACACAGTTAACTTAATTTACATCAGAGTGAAAATGCCCATAACAATCTGATGCCTTGATATCACTAACTGTGTAAATCCCATAGGAATTGGTGAAAAACCCATAGCCTTTTACAATCTGTTATATCTCTGGTTTGCATGAACAGATTTTCATGGCATTTTCACTGATTATACACAAGAGTATAATTAATATGCATTGCTCCATCAAGATGAGATACTCATGTTAAGTAGTTTTTGAGAAATAAAAGGATATTTGCTATCATTTTCTGGCGACACCCTATATTTGAGTCAACAATAAATTTGGTGCCTTCAAACACTTTAATCAATAACTTTGAGAAAAAAAAGAGTTTTCGGTCGCAAATTTTGTCTGCATCTGAAAAACTTTTGGGGGAATAGCAGCTTATTGGGCGCGTGCAAACATAGTTCATGCGCTACGCCGTTTGGAATCCTTAGAAACTGCATTTAACGCCAAAGGCACATAACAAAACGCACTAGAAGACGGATTGGACCGCACGAGTGATCAAGCCGACAAAACGCTTAAGCGTTTCAGTCCGTTCTATTTGAAACAGATTGGGTTAATAACTTATCCCTTTAGACTGTATACGCCAGTGAACATAATTCACTGCGCAGTTTCTGTCGCTGTGAAATCGTGACCACAGATTAACTCTTGATGCCATTATGCCTGCATTTTAAATAGTTGATACATGATTCTTTGAAAACCGATTTAGCTTTTAAATAACGATTCGTTCGGGTATCTTTTTTATTAAAACAAAAAGCCTATTCGTTCCCAATTGCCGGTGGTGATTCGGACGTATTTTGTAAGCGTTGAATATTCCACTTGTAAACTTGATTCCACCTCGAGCTCTATACTCCTCAGTGAGCTGAGACGGTATTTGGAATGTTTAATTGGCCCAATGATCAGGGGTAATAATATTACTGTAAGCGCTGTGATTTAGTTTACTAATCAGAGCGTTCTTAAATGCCGATTATTTTTATTATTATTATTATTATTATTGCGTTCGCGTTCACAAAGAGGGAAAACAGTGTTTACAAAATATCATTCAATATTGCGCAAAGTAATCCAGCAGTAAAAAATAATATAATCCCTGTTTTTTGTTTTCAATCATGTAAATTATACAATTGCCTACAATGCCACTCTATCATCATTGACTAAAAATATTTCCAAATTAGAAGATCTATATCCACTCAATATATTATCTTGTTCATTGTCACGACGAACTGCGTCGGAGGGCAGGTGTTTCGTGGGAAGACACAGGTTTGACGTGATGGAATTTGTTTGACACCCGCGTCATATTTTTCTCGTTAGATTAATTTAGTTGAAGAGTGCGTAGCATAATTATTTTAGTTGCTTGAGTGACGTTTCTGGACAAACATTCGCAGTAACCAGATTTTATTTTAAATTAGGTTTTTGCCCTTCACCGACGTATGAACACTGTATACTCAGTGTGTTTCTACGTCGGTGAAGGGCAAAAACCTAATTTGATTTACATCATCCCGACGCAAAATTCCATCAGATTTTTTTTTTATTTTAAAATGTAAAACTGTCCATGTGGCATGTTATAAACACGATTTATTACGAGAGTGTAACATTACTAACAAATGTTGGTATTGGGTGAAAGCTTTTCCAGTTGTTCCTCAATATCAGGGGACTTCCTCCACTTTTGTAAACTTCACTTTTTTATCGAAAAAAGTCAGATACTTACGACACAAAATGTAGTTATCCAAATGAAAAGGACGTACAATGCACATTCATACAAACAAACATGCTTCGCTTATACCAAAAATATATTTCGCAAGTGTCTACTGATTTCTATACAGTCTTTTTTTTTCTTATTCGAAGCTTTTCCAGACAAGAAATTTCCGAAAGAATGGGGTAAGAAGAATTTGTGTTCCCCAACTTTCAGAAACGTTCCGACGCCGCCGACTTTCTCTTGGCAGTTCATTGATAAGAATCTCTAGTAACTTTGGAATCGCCGATCAACTACCATAATTATTGGCCAACGATTCTTATCCACGTGAAAAAATACGGGATCTTGGTTTTTTTCTTACTGAAAATGTATTCTAGATCCAGCCCACGCAGGATACACAAGTGATTTTGTACCAAATCTATTAGACGTAGGCCTACGTACGGTAAACAACAGATGTCCGCCTCGGTGACTTCATTTGACGCAGATGATTCCCCTCCGACCGAATCTAATAAATTGATTTTCTTTTCTCTCTCTCGTCGCCTTGTCCTTGTTTCTGTAACAGGATAATATCAGTGTCGCCCCTGCTACCCACACTCACACGGATCAACCTGAGGAGAGTCGACGTCTCCGTCCAGGCCAGAGATTGCAGGCTTCACCCGACCAGCTGTCCTTGTTTCTTCGTGTCTGAGCCCCCGCCACAAGAACCACAATAACAGTTGTGTAGCGAAACACAAGCACCCCTGTGACCCGACCATTTACCCCTCCCCTTTGTTTCTTTCGTTTGCCCCCTTTCCTAAATAATGGCAACCCCGAGGACAGTGTCGCACGCGCTACTCGTCCTGGCCCTGACGTGCTCTCTGTCTCTGGCGGCGCCGGCCGTGGATCCCAGATCTGCCACCACGAACACAAACGCGCCCTCGCGGGGCTCGGGATCCAAGCTACTGTACCGGGACGCCGTGGCGGTCGTGGACAACATGCACGAGTTCTTGAGCACCCTGAGCGAGTTTGAGGAGGTCAAGGCCGGGGAAGGGGCGCGCGAGGAGGAGATGATACGCTACGGGATCCCGGCCAGGTCCAAAAAGGAAAACGTAGGGTTCCAGATGCCCGGCTGGAGGAGGAGGCGGCGCCGCAGCACGGTAGAGGAGGACTTGGTGTCAGCTGCCTTCTTCGGTCGCCTTGATGACCAAGCAGACGTCATGGTGAATGCGATCCACAAGTTTTTGGATGATTTGCACAAGGTGAGTTCACAATCTCACATTTTTCTTACTTGAAAAAGAATACCCAGAGAAATGGTTTTACACTCTAAAAAGTCCCCGTAATCCGGGGTCTGAAACTTTTCTGGGTCAAAATGGCACCTTAGCGGGTCTTAACGACACTTTTCTGGCTCATTTTCTGGATCATATTGACCCGACAAACTTTGGCAACAGTGTCATTTTGACCAAGAAATGTGTCAATTTTGAGCTAAAAAGTGTCAGGCTAAATACAACCCGGATTCCGGGTCAAATCCTGAGTTGTAACGAACCACTGAATTTTGTGACTCGAGACGAGTCGAGTCGAGTCACTGGAGTCGAGTCTTCTGATGAGGGAGTCGAGTTCAGTCATTTGCTCGCAGTGACTCGAGTCGAGTCGAGTCGAGTCATTGGGACACGAGTCGAGTCGAGTCATCAGAAACTGTGACTCGAGTCGACCCAAGTCGAGTCATTGACTCGAGTCATTACAACTCTGACTCGAGTCATTGGCTCGAGTCATTACATTACATTATGGTAACGTTACGCGTAATAACATCATAGCTGAACATGATTATTCAGAATGACAGGTATTAAAGTATGTACTTCCTGAAACTTATCCGGTCCGTACGCTCAGCGTCTTTTGCCGCGATCAACCTAGCCTTTCACCAAGGCCATCGTGGCTTAACTTGCCCGCATTCAAAGATTTTTCATCTGAGCTTACAGTTATTTGCTCTTACGTTTTCCTTACTCACCCTTCTTTTAAAAATGGAAGCGACTAGGCAAAATCCGCGTTGTGATTGGTTAACCTTCAGCACTCTTCTTATTTGCATAAAAACTATGAATAATTCAACAAAATCAAGTTGCGAAAGGCCTCGTGGCTTTGCCACTCGTGCTTGCTGACTTAATCTTTGCTCCAGTCGCTTCGGGTCTTCGCAACTTCGCCGTTCTAAGCCACGATAGCCTGGACGAAAGGCTACGATCAACCTTGATTAGTATGGAACGGTTCGCGAAGAGAGAGGCAGTTGCAGCATTGTGTCTTGCCCAACAACATACGCATAGTGATAGGGACTATGATATCGACAAACGGTTCAGATAAGCTTCAAGGGCAAAATGAAATCCTCATATCAAGATTAAAAAAATCAACACAAGATCCGTTACCCAACTTGCAACGGCATTATTTCGGGGGCAATGCGCTGTGTTTGACGGCAGAAAGCACCACTATGAACTCAGGGGGAAAATCAGGTATTATTATATTGGGTATAATTTATTGACCACATACGCCCACTGGCTACATAAATGCATAGGCCTACTTGTGGTTGATATTTTTTTTCAATATTTTACGACGGTGAACTTGAACAGGTTAGGTTGTGAAATTTCTTCTTTGGATTTTGAGTTGGTATGATAATTAGAAACAAACAAATTGCATAAAAAGCAAACGGATTAAAGATCGTACTGGTACTGTACACCACCTGAAATTATTCCGTCTGGCTTGCTGTCATTTAAAAACAAATCAAGAAATGTAGATGATTTCCAACGACCAGTCATTTGACTTGTTTTTTATTTCTTACAAAATGATAAAGAGCGATATTGACGAAATCGTGTTTCGTGATCAGTTTTGTAATCAAAAGGTTGTGCATTGTTTTTCACCGTTCTCTCGAAAGGTGTCATCTCCGCTGAGCTGAAACTTCAATAGTTAGGTTTTGAACATTCTTCTTTGGATTTTGAGTGATGTCATTGTTGAAAACGAACACATAATGCATGAAAAGCAAATGCTTCTCTATGCCAGTAACTGCTTATTTCCAGTACTGCTTGTCTGACCCTTGATTTGTTGTGAACGGTAACAGTTTCTCTAAGCAAGGACGGGTTGGTGTGCTGATTGGATTAGGTAATAAACACCTGTTCCTCACGTATTCCTTGTTTTCTTGTGTAATGTTGAATTACACGAGTTACAAACGTTGGCGATGTCACTTCTCGGCTTAATTGGTATGATGACATTGCCGTTCGAAGTCTCTTTCTGTTGATGTCCCATTGAATTAAATAAGCAACTGACATGTGACGGCATTATTAATTGAGCCTACTTCGAGTTTCATCTGTATTTTTCTAATTTGTAATTCACGGTATAAGTGAAATCTTATTCTTCTGAAAAGGCTGTGCGTGGCTTAAATACAAACGCTGAGATGAAGTGACTGCTTCGGTTTCAGGTTAAGACATCGTTAACTGTAACTCTCTCGTCAGTTTGGTCGAAACTTCACAGCTCCTATATCCGGAAAACATCGTCTTTTTAGGCGTCGATAGGCCTCCATTAGTAAGTCGATCATCAGTCGCAACTTGTTTCGATCTGTTCTTTTTTTCTCTCTCAGTCTGAGTAAACCAAAGGTCGGGCAACCCGCAAATGGAAACACTTCAGAGCAAAGTTCCAAACGGGGAAAAAACAGTCCTATGCTTGCAACTCCGCAAACCCCGCATGAAAACCGGAAAAAAGCCTTAAAACCTGAAGGATGTGTAACGTAAGGCGTGCCACTGACAACGTCAAATTAAAACTTGGAATTACAAATAAGTGTAAAAGTAGACGCGTCCAACGTTGGTTGGAGGCAGCGGGCCGAACGTGGTGTTGCGCACACAGCCACAGCTAGGCCTCCTGCTTGAAATTTACTTAGGAATTGGAGAGAAGACACTTGTTCATTTCGACCGTAAATCTGGCGCCAGTGTCCTGTCCAGAGAATTTGTCCCCATCGTCAAATCGGTGTTGAAACAGACCAGGGCAAGGCGGTTCGCATCGGCTGGCATTGGTGTGCTCAACCAACAATCCCCCGGGATCGATTTTGGGGAGCAGACTGGAAGTATATTGAACTCCATCATGTTGAACTTGATACAATGACTCATTGTCTGGAAGATGAACAGTTCCGTATACCTGTCAATTCTGTTCAATCCTCAAAGTTTAAGGGGCAATTTAATGGCAAAGTGCCATCCCAAAAAGGAAGAACTTAAAAAGGGTTTAAACTTAACTCTGTAAGTTACCATTTGTGTTTGACAAGTATTCCTTACTTAGCACGATCCATCTTCCCTTACGCTTGTTAAATCCATCTCCAGTAACCTTATATTTTTTACTTACTTTCATTTAATTTTACATGGACAAATATTTCTACATGTCTTGCGTTAAAAGCAATAAGGCCCATATATCAATTAGGCCCTTATAGCAATAATAATTGAATATCACAGAGGGAAAAGAAAACCCGAAGTCAACTACTAGAAGAGGAAATGAATTTCAATACAGTAATGCCAGTACTATGTCAAGACCGAAGTTGCGCATTTTAGGAGCCATTATCCGTAACGACATTTATGTGCTTCATTTAGTTTGATATCGACTGTTAATAATTAATGTGCTTAGTCATTCAACCATATAACACCAATTCACCTGACCCCGATTATTAGCCCAATAATAACCTATGCGTGGTTGATCACCCAAACTTGTTACACTGCTTCAGTGACTGATGTAGGTTTAAAGGGAACTGTGTCCTGGAATGAGCCCAATTGGGCTACAAAACGCGATTTGAACAAAATGCTATTAATCGGAAAGAACGTTTAATATAGATTTAAACATTCACATAACTGTCCTTTAAAAACTGGGCGTTTCTGTTCTATTCTTGTTATGCATGCGAGAACAACTTTCGGAATTACAAATAAGTGTTCAGTATTTTTTTTTCATCTAAAGTAGCTTATGAAACTGGCTTTCCAGTCATTATTATTTTTGGTGCTACATATTTTTTAAAATATAGAATATAATTTTGGGGGTTTGGGTTCCGCTTTTTTGACTCAACCTGTATAAGATGTCTTTTCATGGATTTTTAAGCAACCCACAGCGGACTGTGACTTTTGCATTATATTGCATTAGTGGTCTTTAATTAATAGATCTAACTTACGAGTGCGGAACTTTACTTGGGCGCACTTGTCGGACGAGCTCGAATAAAAAAAAATGTATCCGTGAAGTTCCTGACATGAAATATATGAATATGGGACGAGCAGGCAATTGCTTTGTGAAATATCGTCAAATTAACCTGTTGTCTCCCGACACCTGTAGGCGTTTATAATTGATTGAGTCATGCATCATCCCACAGTCTTGGTCGTATTGTCACCGGCTGTGGACTGTCTTTCAGGAACGATTACCAATGAACACCTCACTGCCGGGACATTTCTCCCCAACCACCCTCCTCCTCGTCACACAGGCAGGCCAGTCGCTTACTTTTAAAGCTGCTCCCTGGGGACGTACGGGGGTTTTCAGAAATGCCCATAGAACGTGAACAGCGAGACAAACGTACAATCTACGCACCGGTAACTCGTCCCCGATCGATCCCAGGGCCCTCGGAGATTGCTCCCGTCTATTTGCGATGACACCCGGGTACGAGAGCCGGCCATCGATTACCGTAAAAATGTCGGTGCCTCATCGCCGGTGTGGCCTTGAAGGAGTGCTGCATGCATGTCGAAGTCAAAATATCTCCGATTTGAATTGCAAAGTAAAATCAAACGAAGTACTTTCCACGGTTTTATAATGGACTGAATTAGTGGAAACCGGCTCTCTTCTGTTCCCCCATCACATCAAATTAGGAAGAACTACTTCCTTACAGGAATACTGAATGACGTATTTGTCCTGCTGCACTTAGCCTTCACCAAAAGCCGACAGTATTTGGCCTTACATAACTTGAAAATAAACGAGATAAAGACTACAGTATTTCCCCGAAAATAACTGTCCGACTGACTGTTTTTGAAATTTCTACAAAACCATGCAGTCAATTTTGAAAGTGTTTAATATTGTGCAGATATCCCATATCTTTGGCCTATGCCCCTCTGACTTTCATTTAATTTTATTCACACATCACTGCATATAATGGTCAGTATCGATCACAGCAACATTTTTGGACACTGTGACCAAGTTCCTTGCTTTAATCAACTTCAGTGCTGTGTTATAAGCTGTGTCAAATCCTGTATTTTGTGGGGGGGGGGGGGAGGCTGAA